AGCTAGGGTTACTATGGTTACAAGATAAAGCTAGGGTAAAATACACGGTTACTATGGTTACAAGATAAAGCTAGGGTTACTATGGTTACAAGATAAAGCTAGGGTAAAATACACGGTTACTATGGTTACAAGATAAAGCTAGGGTTACTATGGTTACAAGATAAAGCTAGGGTAAAATACACGGTTACTGTGGTTACAAGATAAAGCTAGGGTTACTATGGTTACAAGATAAAGCTAGGGTTACTATGGTTACAAGATAAAGCTAGGGTAAAATACACGGTTACTGTGGTTACAAGATAAAGCTAGGGTTACTATGGTTACAAGATAAAGCTAGGGTAAAATACACGGTTACTATGGTTACAAGATAAAGCTAGGGTTACTATGGTTACAAGATAAAGCTAGGGTAAAATGCACGGTTACTATGGTTACAAGATAAAGCTAGGGTTACTATGGTTACAAGATAAAGCTAGGGTAAAATACACGGTTACTATGGTTACAAGATAAAGCTAGGGTTACTATGGTTACAAGATAAAGCTAGGGTAAAATGCACGGTTACTGTGGTTACAAGATAAAGCTAGGGTTACTATGGTTACAAGATAAAGCTAGGGTAAAATGCACGGTTACTATGGTTACAAGATAAAGCTAGGGTTACTATGGTTACAAGATAAAGCTAGGGTAAAATGCACGGTTACTGTGGTTACAAGATAAAGCTAGGGTGAAATGTACCCAACCCATACAACAAGTAATAAGATTAACAGTAACACTATGTCTGCCTGTGTAGCTAATATAATAATAGACATTTCCCCAGACAGCTGTAGTAAATACGAACACATACCCACAAAATAAAGATAACACAAAGCCATCATCATTATTATAAACTAATAAATAAAACCTAATAAAAGTTCTGACGATTATCAACAAAGAACAATTAAACCTAAAATTGGATTCTAGTAAAAGTTACAATCAGTCCCAAAATTCATCAAAGAAAATAGGATTGAGTGGGGGACGGTGTTTTGTTTTGATATGTTTTAACCCGTCACATACTAATGTATCACAATCCCTACTAAACCCCACCACTAGGTCTTGTTGATACACTGCGGCTGTTTTACTCGACTGAAAGTGAGCTTTAAGTTTAGTTCTTGACACGTTAAATTGGGGGGGGGGGGGGGGGGGGGGGGGGGGTTACACGTGTCACCCCCCCTCCCCCCTTATAGAGGCAGATCTTTATTAAAGGGTTATGCAGACCTGTCTTATTGAATCGGAATATGTTAAATGTTTCAAGTTTTAAACAGAAATGATGTAAGGAATGGCTGTAAGAAAATTTTAAACCTGAATCCAAACATTTTGACAATATCCACTATTCTTGGATCATAGTTATATATTTGACAGTTTCTGTTAATCAAGTTCTCGAATATTCTCCGATCAAGCTGTATTCTCAGATGTCATTACGTTATCTTAATTTTATAAATTTTACAGTCCACGAAGAAAGTATTACGTATGTATCGGTATTAAATAACTTTTCTATATTTATCATATTTATTAAATTATAGCGAAGAAGCAAAGTATCACATCTGTATTGGTATTAAATAAACTTTATATATTTATTAATTTATAGTAAAGAAGTATTACGTCTGTCTGACAAATGATCACACAATAGTTGTATAGTTAGTTAGTTATAAGTTATAATATATATACATATATTACAACGGTGTTTCTTTCTCTTTTAGCAAAGTGCTCAACTATTGGCTAGGAGCATTCTATAAGCGTAACAAAGTAAACGATGTTATCGTCAAACTAAAAGTTTCATGGATGTGTGAACAACAATCTTCAGTGACATGATTACAATTAAAATGGCAAACATTATACAGCACAGTGCTCCTTTATCAAATTCTTATAATTAACAATTACTCAATACTCCTAAAACCTATAGCTAACAACAATTCATTTTTTAATGCTTATAACTAATAAGTTCTTACTAAAATTGTCTAACTAAGAATTTCCTAGAATGTCTACATTTAGAGGTAACTTTGTTACACTTATATAATATATATCTCTACTATAATTCAGAGAATTATTTCTGTCTGTATGTCTGTACGACCGCCCACGTGCAAATTCGGCAGAAAGCAAAAGGTTGCAAAGTAACCATGGTAACGGTTTCGTTACACGCACGTGCACGTGCAAAGATTGTTAAAGCGGCATTTTTATCGGTTTTGTTGATATTACGTTGTGTTTAGTGCGAGCAACATTTTAATCGGCTGTATCTTCGGTTGTGAAGGATATTTTGACGCGATTTAAACTCACTAACAAAAATACTATTAGTTTCCTCCCTGTGACCACGGGTTTTCTAGTTATATATAATATAATATATATATATTATATTATATATATTATATATTAGTTACATATAATATAATAATTACCTATAACGTGAGGGTGTTAACATTAACACAGCATGTGTAAATGTTAACTCACAGCCTATATATATAACACATGTCTTATGAACTGTTGATTACTGGACAATATACTTGGCTATCTCAATTAGATAATATGGGATATAATATATGCACATAATATGCACGTGACAGCATATTTTACATTAACACTGAGGATTTGGCTGTTAAAAGCCACGTTATGTTACTACAAACATTTAGAGGATGTTGACCAGCAGGTAAATAACTAATAGTTTCAAGTATATCTAGCTGGTTAGTTGTTAGTTAGTGTAGTGTATAGTGTCTAGTTAGTTGTTAGTTAGTGTAGTGTATAGTGTCTAGTTAGCTGTTAGTTAGTGTAGTGTATAGTGTCTAGTTAGCTGTTAGTTAGTGTAGTGTATAGTGTCTAGTTAGTTGTTAGTTAGTGTAGTGTATAGTGTCTAGTTAGCTGTTAGTTAGTGTAGTGTATAGTGTCTAGTTAGTTGTTAGTTAGTGTAGTGTATAGTGTCTAGTTAGTTGTTAGTTAGTGTAGTGTATAGTGTCTAGTTAGCTGTTAGTTAGTGTAGTGTATAGTGTCTAGTTAGCTGTTAGTTAGTGTAGTGTATAGTGTCTAGTTAGTTGTTAGTTAGTGTAGTGTATAGTGTCTAGTTGGCTGTTAGTTAGTCTGTCTAACATACTACACTAGGTAATTGGCACTGTAACACAGTAGAGACCAGCTGTAAAACACGTGTTGCAACACTCCCTGCAACACTCCCTGCAATGTACCTCCCCTTACCTACACGTCCTACATCCTATATCCTATATCCTACATCCTACACGTCCTACACACCCTACATCCTACACACGTCCTAAAGTTTATAAAGCTGTACTTGTGCACACACATTCTTATCATTCCTGTCAGCCGAGAGCAAGTGTTATATTATTAGCTGGAACTCTATTAGACTAGTACTATAACTTTATTAGTTTAGTAGCAGGGTTGAATGTACACTCTAGTAGACTAGTAGCACTCTAGTAGCACTCTAGTAGACTAACACAGACTCTCTGGTCTCTATATCCATATTATATTCTCTATGATATTAGTCTCATTTAATAGCGTCGTGACTACACTTCTTGTAAAGTTGTGATAATGACGTTTAAGTGTACACCAAAGAGAACCGTATTGTTTTGTATTGTCTGTTTACATTTTATATTTTACACAAGCATATTCTATGAGGTGAGATGAAAGTAAAAACATTGGTTCATGAGGGTGAACTGGTTAAGTAATCACCTGATAAGTGGGATCAAATATAAACTGCACTGTAGCAGTGTAACAGTGTAACAGTGTGTCAGTGTAGCAGTGTAACAGTGTAACAGTGTAACAGTGTAACAGTGTAACAGTGTAACAGTGTGTCAGTGTAGCAGTGTAACAGAGTAACAGTGTAACAGTGTAACAGTGTAACAGTGTAACAGAGTAACAGTGTGTCAGTGTGTCAGTGTAGCAGTGTAACAGAGTAACAGTGTAACAGTGTAACAGTGTAACAGTGTAACAGTGTAACAGTGTAACAGTGTAACAGTGTTACAGTGTAACAGTGTAACAGTGTAACAGTGTAACAGTGTAACAGTGTAACAGTGTAACAGTGTAACAGTGTTACAGTGTAACAGTGTAACAGTGTAACAGTGTAACAGTGTGTCAATGTAGCAGTGTAACAGTGTAACAGTGTGTCAGTGTAGCAGTGTAACAGAGTAACAGTGTAACAGTGTAACAGTGTAACAGTGTGTCAGTGTAGCAGTGTAACAGAGTAACAGTGTAACAGTGTAACAGTGTAACAGTGTAACAGTGTAACAGTGTGTCAGTGTGTCAGTGTAGCAGTGTAGCAGTGTAACAGTGTAACAGTGTGTCAGTGTAGCAGTGTAACAGAGTAACAGTGTAACAGTGTAACAGTGTAACAGTGTAACAGTGTGTCAGTGTAACAGTGTAACAGTGTAACAGTGTAACAGTGTGTCAGTGTGTCAGTGTAGCAGTGTAACAGAGTAACAGTGTAACAGTGTAACAGTGTGTCAGTGTGTCAGTGTGTCAGTGTAGCAGTGTAACAGAGTAACAGTGTTACACGGTCTGAAAACTACACCAACCAAACTAACAGCACGCACTTAAATTTCACTAACTACACTGATAATAACTATCACCTGAATAATAAACTAGTATACTAGTTATTAGTAGTTTCTACTATAAAGTATAAAGTATAAGAAACTAGTATAATTAGTTAGTAGTTTCTACTATAAAGTATAAAGTATAAGAAACTAGTATAATTAGTTAGTAGTTTCTACTATAAAGTATAAAGTATAAGAAACTAGTATAATTAGTTAGTAGTTTCTACTATAAACTAGAAAGTATAAGAAACTAGTATAATTAGTTAGTAGTTTCTACTATAAAGTATAAAGTATAAGAAACTAGTATAATTAGTTAGTAGTTTCTACTATAAACTAGAAAGTATAACTAACTAATATACTTAGTTAGTAGTTTCTACTATAAACTAGAAAGTATAACTAACTAATATACTTAGTTAGTAGTTTCTACTATAAAGTATAACTAACCTTCTTGTCTACCCACATATCAGCCTCCTCGTTCAGTATCCTAGCTGACATGAGAGGAGTGTCTGGAACAGAGTTAGTGTCCTGTAAATATGAGGTGTAACCATGGTGACCAGCATATTATGTAGTTCACATATTATATGTAAACTTTTATATGCAAAATGGTTTTAGTTTTTGCCATGACAACTTTGTAAAAATGATGCGGGTAGCGTGAAGACTAAAAACGGACTCCTTTCCTCACACCCAAATTGGCGTTAGTTTTATCGGAAGCCTAATTACAAGGAAATAGGATTTATCAGTAGCACGATTGTTAGGATTCTTCACAAGTAATCCGAGCCACATATAACCAAATTACCGGGATTGTTCTGATGATTGTTGCCGGCTAACAGCTCGCCACTAAAGTGGTACAAATCACAAATATAATACGATAACCTCTCCCAATGATTGTGTAATTAATTATGCTGGTATGAAATGTAATTAAACATGGTGTTGTTTAATTAATTAATTAATTAACGCACCTTGATCCAGGGGTGGTTCATGGTCTGAGTGATGGTGAACCTCCTAGTTGTGTCAGTACAGAGGAGTCCTCGTATCAGATCTTTTGCTGAAATTAGTCATTATCTAATCGATATACAGATTGCAATGTGTGTGGAGTGAGACACTAGCTTATAGGAGTGCGTGTGTGTTAGTGTGAGTGTGGGAGTATAGACTATGTATTAGATAATCAATAATCCAGTTGTGATCACATGCGACTATGCGACAAGGTACTCTTCTGCTGAGAAAGTGATGAGATCATCTCTTGACGTGTGTAATTGCCCTTACTAGTGGTGCAACTTAAGAAGCACTGCCTTCCTTACAAGATATGACAGTGTAACTAGTATCATATCACAGTGATCTCACACAGTGTGTAATTCAGAGGTAATTATATATCACGTAATTAAGTAATTATGTAATTACTATCCAGGTGTAGGGAAAGGAAGTGGAAATCAGTCCTCAAAATTCATTTAGTTTTGCAATTGAAATATAATCATTGGTATGTTATAGTACACCATGCCACGTATAAAAGTTTAAACGTTTTGGAGTATTGTAAAATCACGCCACAAAGACCTATTTGTGGGTATTACAAGAGTGATAAGACATTAAATATCCGCAAATATAATAAATAGGTTTTTGTGGCGTGAGTTTGTGATACAAAATGCATCTCAGAGGGGGAATTATTAAAGTATTAAGGAATGTTGACTGCTAAGTGCAGTGGTGAACGATTTATTTTTAAAAAGTAACATAAAATATGTAGGGGGAGCACAATGTAGGGGCCGGGGGAGCACAATGTAGGGGCCGGGGGAGTACAATGTAGGGGGCCGGGGGAGCACAATGTAGGGGGCCGGGGGAGCATAACGGAGGGGGCCGGGGGAGCACAATGTAGGGGGCCGGGGGAGCACAATGTAGGGGCCGGGGGAGTACAATGTAGGGGGCCGGGGGAGCACAATGTAGGGGCCGGGGGAGTACAATGTAGGGGGCCGGGGGAGCACAATGTAGGGGGCCGGGGGAGCATAACGGAGGGGGCCGGGGGAGCACAATGTAGGGGGCCGGGGGAGCACAATGTAGGGGCCGGGGGAGTACAATGTAGGGGGCCGGGGGAGCACAATGTAGGGGGCCGGGGGAGCACAATGTAGGGGCCGGGGGAGTACAATGTAGGGGGCCGGGGGAGCACAATGTAGGGGGCCGGGGGAGCATAACGGAGGGGGCCGGGGGAGCACAATGTAGGGGGCCGGGGGAGCACAATGTAGGGGCCGGGGGAGTACAATGTAGGGGGCCGGGGGAGCACAATGTAGGGGCCGGGGGAGTACAATGTAGGGGGCCGGGGGAGCACAATGTAGGGGCCGGGGGAGTACAATGTAGGGCCCGGGGGAGCACAATGTAGGGGGCCGGGGGAGCACAATGTAGGGGCCGGGGGAGTACAATGTAGGGCCCGGGGGAGCACAATGTAGGGGGCTGGGGGAGCACAATGTAGGGGGCCGGGGGAGTCTAATGTAGGGGGCCGGGGGAGCACAATGTAGGGGGCCGGGGGAGCATAACGGAGGGGGCCGGGGGAGCACAATGTAGGGGGCCGGGGGAGCACAATGTAGGGGCCGGGGGAGTACAATGTAGGGGGCCGGGGGAGCACAATGTAGGGGGCCGGGGGAGCACAATGTAGGGGGCCGGGGGAGCATAACGGAGGGGGCCGGGGGAGCACAATGTAGGGGGCCGGGGGAGCACAATGTAGGGGCCGGGGGAGCACAATGTAGGGGGCCGGGGGAGCACAATGTAGGGGGCCGGGGGAGCACAATGTAGGGGGCCGGGGGAGCATAACGGAGGGGGCCGGGGGAGCACAATGTAGGGGCCGGGGGAGTACAATGTAGGGGGCCGGGGGAGCACAATGTAGGGGGCCGGGGGAGCACAATGTAGGGGCCGGGGGAGTACAATGTAGGGGGCCGGGGGAGCACAATGTAGGGGCCGGGGGAGTACAATGTAGGGCCCGGGGGAGTACAATGTAGGGGGCCGGGGGAGCACAATGTAGGGGGCCGGGGGAGCACAATGTAGGGGCCGGGGGAGTACAATGTAGGGGTCCGGGAGAGTACAATGTAGGGGGCCGGGGGAGTACAATGTAGGGGCCGGGGGAGCACAATGTTCTTGGGAATGAAATTTCCAGAAATGAGGGTATTTAAACAAAAATTTAAAAGTGAGTAAAAATGTTAAATATTTCTGTTTTAATAGTGAGGTTCACTTTGTCGGGGATATTATAACCAAACAATCCTAACAATTGGCATTGTCTCCCCCCTTTAAGTGGTTAATAAGAGTGAGATTTGTTTGATAGAAAATTAACAAATCAATTTGTTAGAGATTTGTTTGTGCTGTCCCCCGGATACATATATAACTATTACCTGATAGTTTCGTAAGTTTAGCAAGCACTCACATTATCCAATAACCAAGCTCAATAAAGTTGTGTACACAATATTTATACAAATTCTGAATATATGCAGGATACTCTAAATATGCGTAATAAATTACCTGATTCTGAGACATTGCTCCACTCTGGATCGGGAAACGTGTAATCTCCTTGTCTGATCCGTTTCTTCATTCCCGGAGACATGGGGGCTCCTCCTTCCGTGTGGAATGGGGGGTAACCGCATATTCTGGGGGAAAAAGGGTCTGTTACTCCCTGCTACTAGAGTAAAAGGGACTGTTACTCCCTGCTACTAGAGTAAAAGGGACTGTTACTCCCTGCTACTAGAGTAAAAGGGACTGTTACTCCCTGCTACTAGAGTAAAAGGGACTGTTACTCCCTGCTACTAGAGTAAAAGGGACTGTTACTCCCTGCTACTAGAGTAAAAGGGACTGTTACTCCCTGCTACTAGAGTAAAAGGGACTGTTACTCCCTGCTACTAGAGTAAAAGGGACTGTTACTCCCTGCTACTAGAGTAAAAGGGACTGTTACTCCCTGCTACTAGAGTAAAAGGGACTGTTACTCCCTGCTACTAGAGTAAAAGGGACTGTTACTCCCTGCTACTAGAGTAAAAGGGACTGTTACTCCCTGCTACTAGAGTAAAAGGGACTGTTACTCCCTGCTACTAGAGTAAAAGGGACTGTTACTCCCTGCTACTAGAGTAAAAGGGACTGTTACTCCCTGCTACTAGAGTAAAAGGGACTGTTACTCCCTGCTACTAGAGTAAAAGGGACTGTTACTCCCTGCTACTAGAGTAAAAGGGACTGTTACTCCCTGCTACTAGAGTAAAAGGGACTGTTACTCCCTGCTACTAGAGTAAAAGGGACTGTTACTCCCTGCTACTAGAGTAAAAGGGACTGTTACTCCCTGCTACTAGAGTAAAAGGGACTGTTACTCCCTGCTACTAGAGTAAAAGGGACTGTTACTCCCTGCTACTAGAGTAAAAGGGACTGTTACTCCCTGCTACTAGAGTAAAAGGGACTGTTACTCCCTGCTACTAGAGTAAAAGGGACTGTTACTCCCTGCTACTAGAGTAAAAGGGACTGTTACTCCCTGCTACTAGAGTAAAAGGGACTGTTACTCCCTGCTACTAGAGTAAAAGGGACTGTTACTCCCTGCTACTAGAGTAAAAGGGACTGTTACTCCCTGCTACTAGAGTAAAAGGGACTGTTACTCCCTGCTACTAGAGTCAAAGGGACTGTTACTCCCTGCTACTAGAGTAAAAGGGACTGTTACTCCCTGCTACTAGAGTAAAAGGGACTGTTACTCCCTGCTACTGGAGTAAAAGGGACTGTTACTCCCTGCTACTGGAGTAAAAGGGACTGTTACTCCCTGCTACTGGAGTAAAAGGGACTGTTACTCACTGCTACTGGAGTAAAAGGGACTGTTACTCCCTGCTACTAGAGTAAAAGGGACTGTTACTCCCTGCTACTAGAGTAAAAGGGACTGTTACTCCCTGCTACTAGAGTAAAAGGGACTGTTACTCCCTGCTACTAGAGTAAAAGGGACTGTTACTCCCTGCTACTAGAGTAAAAGGGACTGTTACTCCCTGCTACTAGAGTAAAAGGGACTGTTACTCCCTGCTACTAGAGTAAAAGGGACTGTTACTCCCTGCTACTAGAGTAAAAGGGACTGTTACTCCCTGCTACTAGAGTAAAAGGGACTGTTACTCCCTTCTACTAGAGTAAAAGGGACTGTTACTCCCTGCTACTAGAGTAAAAGGGACTGTTACTCCCTGCTACTAGAGTAAAAGGGACTGTTACTCCCTGCTACTAGAGTAAAAGGGACTGTTACTCCCTGCTACTAGAGTAAAAGGGACTGTTACTCCCTGCTACTAGAGTAAAAGGGACTGTTACTCCCTGCTACTAGAGTAAAAGGGACTGTTACTCCCTGCTACTAGAGTAAAAGGGACTGTTACTCCCTGCTACTAGAGTCAAAGGGACTGTTACTCCCTGCTACTAGAGTAAAAGGGACTGTTACTCCCTGCTACTAGAGTAAAAGGGACTGTTACTCCCTGCTACTAGAGTAAAAGGGACTGTTACTCCCTGCTACTATAGTAAAAGGGGCTGTTACTCCCTGCTACTAGAGTAAAAGGGTCTGTTACTCCCTGCTACTAGAGTAAAAGGGACTGTTACTCCCTGCTACTAGAGTAAAAGGGACTGTTACTCCCTGCTACTATAGTATGTGCATTATGACTGTGCACCGGGTTAAAACCCCTTTCATTTTAAATTATTTTACAATATTATTAAAAAGAAGGCATTCAAGTTTCAACTGTTCCATCTTCCACTGTAGAATTAGCAACTTGCAGTATTCACGCCGAGACATGCCAGTTATTTAAAGGCTCACTCGAACTTACAATTTAATTAAACCCACAAACATCTACATCGAACCAATCATACGTCTTCGCTTCATCACGTCTTAATTTACTTAATTTTCTCTGTAATGATTAGAAATGAAACTTTATTCAGTTAATTCCACAGTTTGTTGAGTTAACACTCATATTCACACAGAGTGATTGGTTAGTGTAATGAGATACTAATCAGAGGAAGAGAGGGTGTGTAATATCATGTTCATATAAGTGCTTCTTTGAAACACGATGCGACGACAGTCATGTCACTTAGTGTACAGACTACAGGGAGCTGGAGAGCTAGAGGTTTCAAATTAGCTTATTGGAACTATTAATCGTCAGTTTATTATACAGCTAGTTGTTTTATGTATTATATAATACATTTAAATATTATGCGCTTCAATCACATATTCTAGTGACATATTCTAGTAACATATTATTCTGGTAACATATTCATGGAGAGCACTGCAACTTATATCATAAGGCCACGAGTGCAGAGTGTGACGCTGAGGAAGTTGGATAACCGAGAAACCATCCTCAAACTATATCACACGTACAATATGGTCACACGTACAACATGGTCACACGTACAATATGGTCACACGTACAACATGGTCACACGTACAATATGGTCACACGTACAAAATGGTCACACGTACAATATGATCATACGTACGCTAGAATTGCAATACTCCTATACTTCTAATAGAATCCCACAAATCCCTCATTCCGACCCGCGCTGGAACACGCTAGAATTGCTGAAGAGTTGACACACTCACTCACTGCTGACTGCTATCTCTCAACGTACTAAACATTATAATACGTGCTGAGCACACAGTTAGAGGCCCACACGTTCTGTTAGAGGCCTGCAACGTGCAACACACTGCTGAGGAACATTCCAGAGGTCTAGAATACATTCCGCGTCCTCTGCAAATAGTTTCTCTGGAACTGAGACTATAGTATCTGCTATACTGACAGAGCACTCGTACACCTCCTACAAGCGTACACGCTGCACTGTTTACATGCTGTTTACATGCCGTTTATCCGACAGTTAATAATATTACTCACTAACAGCGCGAGCCTAGCGGCGAAATTATAATAACTTTGCGGAGGGAATTATATTGCATGAGGAGGCTTCTCTTCTCTAGTGGTGAAGTTGGGAGTGTTTGTTTGTGAGGGTGGAGTGTGACACACACCCAAACAACACCCTAGCAACACCCTAACAACATCCTAACAACATCCTAATAACACCCTAACAACACCCTAACAACACCCTCACAACACCCTAACAACACCCTAATTACACCCTAACAACACCCTAACAACACCCTAACAACACCCTAACAACATCCTAACAACACCCTAACAACGTACGTGACCAGGACGGTGTGATTACTAGTTACTATTTGTTACATCTGTACAGGTTTGGGCATGTTGTTATGTTACATCATAGTGACGTCATAGTGACGTCATAGTGAGCTCACTGCTGTGCTAATGTTTGTGTTAGATCATGCAACATGATATATATGTCCGGTGACACATCGTAATGTTATCAGGTGGGATGTAATACTGTCTGCAATCTGATACTCACACAAAAGCGAAATAATCGCTTACAATTTAGGATGTAAGTATAATTATATGTAATATAAAATATAAATATCTCCGGGATTTCGACGCGGGATCATATTATCACTCAGCCCGGCCCGCTGTTAGATAAACATCTCAAGGTGATATCATCCCGCCCCGGAAATTTGTATAAACCCGGCCCGCTTTTTAGTCGTAACTGATGTTTATCATTCAATTCTCCGACTTACAATAATCAATGATACTGCTGATTAGAACTCGATAATAGTAGAACAGTTAGACGCGCGATCACGTGGGCGCGTCACGTGCGTACCACGTGCCACCAATAGCATACGCCGAGTCTATACCACGTGACACGAAAGCGCACCACGTGATATGAAACATCGTAACCGTCCACTTCTTTTACACGCAAATTCCTGGGAACGTTGCCAAAGCAGCTAATTCTTGGAATTTCTCCAACGCGTGGCGTGAGAAGTTGGCGACTAGCCAGCTACCCTTGTCCGTGCCCTAAAAATAGTATTGTTTTGCTTGCTCTCCTTTCAGCTCTTGTTCCTGCTAACGTTCAAGCTATTGCTCCACTATGACAGATCGGTTTGACATTCAGATTGAAATAAAAACTATTTTATCACTCTCTTCTAAAGTATAAATCCCTTGTCGAAATCGCCGGAGATAATTATAATCCATAAACACTTCACGCTCAGGGCTAAATAAATGTAATCCCTCAGCTGGCGCTTCGGGATTACATATTAACACAAAACTCGTGCACTGCGCGCACTCGTATGTGTTTATCAGATCATCCCGCTAGCGCGGGATGATCTGTTATATAAACCCTTTGCGTGGCGGGTTTATGTTATTATAAATAGTGAGTATAATACAATAACGTGTTTAAAGGAGTAAGGAAGTATGTGCTGTCATCACATTCTAACTGAGCTCTTTTATTTGACGGCCTGTAAGTGTAAATACACACATTACACAGTATTACACACGTTGCAGGATAACAGCCGTGAGCCGAGATACAGTCAACCCCGATTTACCGCGGCTATCTCCTTTCCTTCAAATAGGGCTTAGGATGTATCATAATGTAATCAAAAGAAACCTTGATTTACTGCCAACCCCGATTAACCGCGGATGTTTTTTTAAAGCCGAATAGATTACCTACTCAACACTCAATTTTCAATTCTCATAATTATAATATACATTATATTAATAGTAATAGTATTCGCTTTTTCGAACTCACAGCATATACATTATACATGAAATATAAATAATAATAAAAGTAAAATAATATACTCACAATATATAGATAATGATAAAAGTAAAATAATATACTCACAATATATAGATAATGATAAAAGTAAAATAATATACTCACAATATATAGATAATAACGCCCAGAGACCACATGTCACATGACATGTCGTACTTCTCCGGTCCCAGTACTTCAGGAGCTGAGAATAACAACTGTTAATATAGCAGGGTTAATATAGCAGGGTTAATATAGCAGGGAACAGTGACGGAGTACCCTAACAACACCCTAACAACACCCTAACAACACCCTATCAGGAGCTGAGAATAACAACAGTTAATATAGCAGGGTACAGTGACGGAGTACCCTAACAACACCCTAACAACACCCTAACAACACCCTATCAGGAGCTGAGAATAACAACAGTTAATATAGCAGGGTACAGTGACGGAGTACCCTAACAACACCCTAACAACACCCTAACAACACCCTAACAACACCCTAACAACACCCTAACAGGAGCTGAGAATAACAACAGTTAATATAGCAGGGTACAGTGACGGAGTACCCTAACAACACCCTAACAACACCCTAACAACACCCTAACAACACCCTAACAGGAGCTGAGAATAACAACAGTTAATATAGCAGGGTTAATATAGCAGGGTACAGTGACGGAGTACCCTAACAACACCCTAACAACTGCACCCTAACAACACCCTAACAGGAGCTGAGAATAACAACAGTTAATATAGCAGGGTTAATATAGCAGGGTACAGTGACGGTGTAATATTAAATAAATGTAGAAGTTTGCTACTTAGAGCTGGAGATTTAGACGTCTACCTATTTAGAGAGATAATTAGCGCTATCTAGCGTCATCAGGCGTCATTTCACGCTAGATGACGCTAGATGACGTCATTTCACGCTAGATGACGCTAGATGACGTCATTTCACGCTAGATGACGCTAGATGTCGAATTTCAACTATCGGTAAAGGTCCGAGTTTGAGATGTCTGCCTACTTAGAGATTGAGGGTTCTAAGACTCCTAGCTATTAGTATTTAAAGTTTGAGATGTCCGCCTACTTAGAGATTGAGGGTTCTAAGACTCCTAGCTATTAGTATTTAAAGATTGAGATGTCTGCCTCAAAGAGAGCTGAGAGCAGTAATGTTGTCAGACCAACATTACCGCTCTGGAGAAATCAATAATATTTATTTTCTAAAATGATGGTGCATGATGTAACCTAAACATATTGTGGCTCGATGCTATTTATAGCTCTGATAGGGTTATATTCATTTATTGGATAGGTTGAAGTATGAAAAGGGAACCATGTAGTAGCAGTACAGGATGGAATTGTTAAATTGCCTTTATGATAATCTTATATCCCAGGGCTTTGCTATAATCATAATATATCCTGTATGTCTTAATACGATTCCTTTACTATCCTTCAATAAAACACGGTGTAGTTATTGGTTAAGGGGGCCGGGGGGGGGGGTCTTCATCAAAATTAGGTGTAGTTATTGGTTAACAATAATATACATCAAGTAGTAGTTAGTACTCTAATATGACACCTCCTCATGCAGCAAACAAAGCCACTACAAGCAGTCACTTTGTTATCTATACAAATAATACCACTGAGAGAATATGTCCCATGAGACTCTATTCACCCGTCTAAAGTACACCCAATATGCTAACCACCAGAACCACCTCGTCCTACACCACTTCTATTTCCAACATGTTAGTGTGTCCTGTGTTTGCACAGTGGTTGCTGTTTGCAGCAGCCCTGGAGACCGCTTTATCCTCGCTGCATCATTTCGACTTGGCTAAAGCGCCAGTGATAAGAATAGCGCGCTGCACCATGAGACTCCACAACAACGGAACAGAGATCGGAGACGTGGAGTTCTGGTCGGATGGCACAAGTCAACAGATGGAGGTGAGACTGGAGAGTACGGTAATTAAAGAGGGGAACCACGGCCTACACATACACAAGGACAGTGTGCAGGGGTACGACTGTGGGTCTACATCCGGCCATTACAACCCAACTGACAAGGAACACGGCAGTCCTCTGTCTTTTGACGAGAGCCGCCATGTGGGGGACTTTGGTAATGTCAAGGCTGATGCTAAAGGTAGGGTCAACTGGCAGTCTAAGTTTGTGGTGAGGAGCAGTGGAGGTACTAACCATGCTACCATTCATATTGAGCCGCTCTTATTAGAGAAGAGAAGGAAACAGAAGAAGAGTAAGAAGAGCAAGGGCGGAAAAGCAAAGAAAGATAAAGGAGGAAAAAAAGGCAAAGGAAAAAAAAAGAAGAACAAACCCATCATTGATGGTGTACCTTCGCCAGAAATTGCCATTCAACCAGTACCAGAAATTGCCGTTCAACCAGTACCAGAAATTACCGTTCAACCTATACCAGAGCCAGAAATTGCCGTTCAACCAATACCAGAACCAGAAATTGCCGTTCAACCAATACCAGAACCAGAAATTGCCGTTCAACCTATACCAGTACCAGAAGATGTCTATTACGTTCCCCCGCCACCTCCACCACGCCCTGCCTACATGTTCTACGCAAGGTACCTGGTCAACTCTATGCGCTTCACTCTGGACGGGGAACAGTCCATAGTGGGACGATCAGTAGTACTACATGACGGGACAGATGATGAGGGTAAGGGAGGGGACGAGGGGAGCAAGGCAACAGGAAATGCTGGTTCACGTGTTGCCTGCTGCACTCTCGTCGAGGTTTGAACATGATCGGACAACCGGGTTTTTTTGAGCTTTCTTTTTTTGTAAAATATTGCGAAATTAAATATGCGAAATAATGGACTTTTGATGATGTTATGTTAAATTTTGATATGGATTCATTGAAATTCAAGTAGTGAAGTTGTGAGAATAAAACTAAAATTATGGTGATATGTTAAACACATTATGATGAAACTATTTGCATTGACTTCTTTAAATTTGTTCTAAAATTAAAATGAAAAATCGAAAGATCACAGAAAAGATTTTATGAATCTGCACTGCTGAATTTAATAGGTTCGGTTAAATTAATTAATTAATTAACTATTACCTGCGTAGTAGGGTGTAAAACAGGGAGTCTTCAGTTTCAAACCGCTCACAACCTCACTAGCAAACCCAAAGTCTGTTAGTTTTAACGTTGCATTCGCGTCATGGTTCTTGAATAACAGGTTCTCAGGCTGCAAAGAGAAAGAAACTATTTAATTTTTAGCTCAACAATCTCGTCACATTATTTTATGGTTGAAAGCCTTGTAAAATGTAAATGATTCTCCTTAAAAGTCCACTAAAAAACCATTCGAGACGGCCTGTGATAAATTCCAAGCCAGACCGGTGTGATGTAATCTCTCTCTCTCTCTTCAGACAGATAGTTGTATCACACAATGCCACCCATGTCAACATGAACATTTAGAAAGTCGGCGACATTCATTTGTTTGGGTCGTGACGTGCTTGTTTCACTGTTATTATTATACACGTATTATATAACGTGTAAACTCCTGTGTTGGCCGGTGTCTGTTTTATCATTATATCATCTTCTGGTCAAACACAACTATCATTGTCTAAAATAAGTAACACCAGAGCTAGCGGCGTCATGATTTAAAGTCGAGAAACTTTAGTGGTTTAAATTAATTTGATTGATAAAGAAATCTGACCTTGGTTCATAGAAGTACCAGGAGTTTTTAAAAACTATGAAAATTGTTGCACAGATAAGTTAACTTTGAAATGGTAAAATTGTAGAATCATAATGTTATGATAAATTTACCTTTATATCCCTATGTGCGACATTCTTTGAATGCAAGCAAGACAGAGCCTCGCATATTTGCCTGGTTATTATGCTTGCTTCTTTCTCAGTAAAAGCATCATCACCTTTAGATTGAATTCTTTCGAATAACTCTCTGCCCTCCATACTGAGTGAAGTTGCATAGGTTAAGTAAAATATAAACTAACTCGTGTAAATTGTTTACAGGACAGAAGTTTACTACAAGTTTAGATATTTTATGAAACATTTTAACTTACCATTCCATAACCATAAGGTAGCATTTGGTGCCAGAGAATGTGTTCTCGTAGACATCAACCACATTGACTATATTTTGATGGGATCGTACCATCCAATGCAGGGCACACTCTCTGTACGCCTTCGCACTCTTCCTCAGAGCCTGGTATAATGGGTTATTAGAAGGTTTAAAACACAAGAAAATATATTCGTCCGAGAGACGAGTGGTAATTAAATAGCTTTTCAGTAAAAACGGTTTCATAATTGCCATAAAGTTTAAAAATATGCAAGAAACTCACTTTTAAAGCATATTTCTGATTAGTTTTCTTGTTGAAGCACTCAACGACCTTGCCATTAATTCCAACACCAAGAGTACGGGAGGATATGGTGTAATCATTGGTAATATTAGTGGTTTTGAATTTTATTGTCCCTAAGTTAAGGGTTGTAGGTGGTTGTGGTGGGGGCGGCTGTTGCCCATTCCCCTCTTTCTTGAATATGTGAAACGGCATGTGTTCTACCTAGAAAAATAAATTGTGTTCAATTTTTAACAATCAGTTATCATTAAAGAAATATACATTCAGTTCAGAATTGTAATTAGTCGATCATGCCATGGTGAAATATGGTTTTCAATCAAAATCCCCCCAATGATAACTGTGCCTAAGCAAAGAAAATATTATAGAATATAAGTATAACAGAATCAATTCATGATACACCACTAAACACGATTGAGACCTAATTAACTCTGTTAAAAGATCTAACATCTAGTTAGGATATCTTTACATGCATTAGTAAAAGAGAAAAAATAGTACAAGTTTTTAATCAAAACCTGTACAGTAGCAATGGAAGGACAGGTAACTAACGGGGCAAGGAATGCGCGTGCCTGGAAGCTTTTGCACACACCGAAACGCTAGTTCAGTTAAGTTTATAGAGACAAGGCTCAGATTAGGACTAGAAGAAAAATTGTAAGCAGACATTAGGGGTTCTGTTTATAATAGTTGTTATTATAGGTTGCAGTCTTGTTGTGACAAAAAGTCTACACTAAAACATTCTTTGGTTTATATTGTGTAGTTCAAGGATATAAAATGCAGCTTCAAGCTTTCAAGGTGGATATTGGAGAGCTGGCGAAAGATTATGGCCTTTGTATCAATGGTTATAATAAGCTATAAATATCTTAAACTATACAGTGCTAATTAAAATTTCTTTAAACTTCATTCTCAAATTAGATTTTTAAAATTCAAAAGTAAATATACAATAATTTTATTAAAACTTTCTCACACATACTTTACTCACAGGACAAGACTTGGAAAACAGTAGCCTAGGGTAATTTTAATTGAGATGTGTGTGACCAGCCAGTTATAATGTTTGGGAAATAAGATTTGCGCAGTCAAAATCTTTGACAGTCCAATCAAGCAGGGCGTGATTATGTTGATTCGTTAATAGCGCACGTTTTAGCTTACCTCGCAAGCACATTACACTAGTAGTAAAGTCAGTCATTCTGAATTTTGGGGTTATAATGTTAAAAATTTTGGTTGATCTAGTGTTGTGATTGTCAGGTGGGTCTGCCTGACAGATTAGAAGGCAGGGTTTCCTCGAGGAACACGTGTAACCTTCATGTAAGGATATTGGAGCACGGAATTTCATTATCTTGTAGAGCTCGAGGTAACTGTGGTATGTATAGAGATTTTGTATAGCTAGAATATTATTATGCTTAAATATCGGTTTGGTGTGCTCTTTTATGAAAAATTTTTGGTCAAGTTTCTGGTGTCCTATAGGCCTAGTACGTGCACAAGTCTTAAACTTATCAAGGTACGCCAGCCTGTCGCCAAATAGTACTCTGAGACAGTACTTCTGAGCAGTAAATAATGAGCTTATACGTTGTTTCGCTGCCCCACCCCATACAGATATACAGTAGGAAAGATGTGATTCGAACAGGGTATAATATAATTGTTGGTGTAGAAATTCTGGAAGGGAGCAGCGAAGTCTACATAAAGTGGATGTGGAATGATTTAGAGTTCGCTTAAGTGCTTTGATGTGATCTTCCCATGATAGGTTCTCGTCAATTATAACACCCAGAAATTTTGCGGATGAAACCTTTTTGATTGGAAAGTTGCCTATAGTTAATACAACTTCAGGGTGTGATAAAGTCTCTCACTTAGAACCTGCCATGGTGGGTTTGAAGTGTATGTAGCAGCACTTAGACATGTTTATATGTAACTTATTCGCTCTCATATAAGACTTTAATGATGACAAAAGCTCATTTCCTCGTTCATATGCCTCACGTTTTGTTTTTCCGACAACAAATATATTGGTATCATCAGCAAAGGTAACAAATGATCCTAGTTTAGAACTGTTTGTGATGTCGTTCATATAAAGAAGAAATAGGAGAGGTCCAAGAATTGAACCCTGTGGGACACCAAATTGAATAGATAGGGTATCTGATTTTTCTCCTACAACTTCGGTGTATTGTTGCCTGTTTGTCAAGTAGCTTTTAATGAGGTTATTTGCAACTCCTCTCACTCCACATCCCTCTAGTTTTATAAGAAGTGTTGAATGGTCGATAGTGTCAAAAGCTTTGCTTAGGTCAATGAATATTCCTAAAACATGATTCTTAAGTTTAAGAGATTTCGTAATCAAATTTACAGAGTAATTGACTGCATGAGATGTAGAGTGAGATTTCCTAAATCCAAACTGCGTCTTCGATATAACTCCCTGGGAGCTAACAAATCCGTATATTCTAGAATATATGAGCTTTTCAAAGATCTTACCGAAGACGGACAGTGTGGAGATAGGACGGTAGTTCTCAATTTCTTCTGGGTTACCTTTCTTATATACAGGTGTTATTTTACCAGTTTTCAGGACATCAGGAAATATACCTTTGGTCATAAGGATATTAAAGTAATTCGATAATACAGGTGCAATTACATGAGATGACTTTTTTACTACACTTATGGGAATGTCACTGGCTTTACCATTTTCGAACTCGCTTATGATTTTCAATATTTCGTTCGAGGAGCAATCTTCTAGCCTAATATTTTTTTCATTTCTTGGGTTCAGGAAGTCATAGAAAGTTTTCATGGGTAATATAGGCAGGCCATCAGATAGATTATGCAGTGTCTCATTCAGCTTTGGTGCAATAGAGACAAACCAAGCATTGAATCCATTAGCAATTGCTCTTCTATCAACTATTCTTTGGTTATCAATGATAAATGGGGGCTTGGTTTGCCTCTTCTTTTTGCCCCTGAGTTCGTTAATAATTTGCCAGGTTTTCTTGCTGTTTTCACAGTTGTTTACGATTTCGTTACAGTAATGCCAACGTTTGGCAGCTTTAATGATAGCTTTGAGCATCCTACGATAATCACTAAATACTTGGTAGAGCAAGAAATTACCACCAGGGTTCTTATTAGTAACGGTGTCAGACCACTCCTTACGCAGTTCATGCTTTCTTTCTACAGACTGGATGATACTGTCTGTAATCCATGGGTTAAGTTTGGGAGTTCTTTTTGTCACTTTTGGTACCTCCAGTTTGCAGTGTTTGTCAAGTGTCTGGTCAAAACATGCCGTGAACTCATCAAATTTTGTTGAAGGAGTGAGCTGGTTTACCCTCACCTCAAGTTCAGATACAAAGCTTTTTAATTTGGAACTTGAGTAATCATAATAGCGGACATGTTTCTGAGGCTCTGTATTGCAAGGGGTCTCTACTGAAGTGAAGGTAAATATAGGGGCATGCTCACCAAGCCATTCTTCAATAACACCTGATAAGACTATATTCTCAATTTTATTTGTTAAAATGTTATCGATGCAGGAACTTTTACAGTTTTGACGAAAATGTGTTGCAATGGAGATAGTCGGGTAAAAGCCATTTCTGTATAAAGTATCCTCTAAGAGCTGGGAACTGGTAGATATATTAAGTATGTTTGAGTTAAAGTCTCCCAACAAATTGACAGTTTTCCCATTTAGCTGCTTTGCAAGTAATTCAAGGGTTTCACAAAAGCTATCAAAGCAGCCATTAGGGGGTCGGTAGATGACTCCATGAACAATTTTGCAGCCTGCGCTATCTGTGGTTTCAACAAAGAGACTCTCAATATTTGTAGTACAGTGTGATACATTTTCTAAGACCACAGTGTTTAAATGGTCAGATACATAGAGTGCAACACCTGTGCCTTTTTTCTTACCTGCCAATGTTTCTTGATAGAATCCTGTGTATGCTGGAATTTGGTACAGACCCTGCTGTGCAGGATCAGTATTGGTTTCAGCAAGACCAATCATATCAAACGAGTGCTCTATACTTTTGAGTTCAATTAGGAAGCTATCAAAGTTAGATGCGTTTCCATCTATATTGTAGAATAAAGTTGATAACATAGATTTTTTTGAGGAATTGAGCTGCTTGATTGCATTTAAGAACTCGAGTTTAGAGTAGCGACGGCAACTTTCAAGTACATGGGCATATGATGCAATTAAGGCATCCTCCTGGTTTCTATTATCATAGAATCTATCAGAATCAATAGATTCCTCATCAGATGGAAATGGGCAGTACCGTTCTTCTGCAGAACTGGCACACTCGCAGCACATCCATTGTCCATTTTTGCATGAATATTTAGCTGATTTGAAACACTTAGTATGAATGGCATTATTACAGTTTTCACACTCTAGTAAAGGTTGTCCGATATTAATAGATCTACTGCATGGCTCACACACATCTTTAATAATTTTCATAATCATTTTTACTAAGTGGGGTTGTTAGACCCCACTGACTGGTTGTGTTTTCCATGTCTTGTCCGTTCTTGCCTCTCTCTCACATACACCCAATGCTTCACACACCTCACAAATTTGGTAATACCATAAACTCCTAAGTGAATATCATCACCACCTCTGGTCAGGTTGGTGGCAAGGAGTCCCTTGCTATCTAAAAAGTGTCCAACTCCAAGGTGCCACACACTCTGGTTAAAGTTGGCACTCAACATTTCTCCAACAAGCCGATTGAAGGTCATGATATTCTCGTTCATTTGAGGTAGCCTGGTTGGAAGGACTGCTGCTACAAAAATTAGTGGCTGAAAGTCTGGTATAAATAGTATTCGAATGAATAAGTGTATGCATTCAGATAACTAGCAGGAACCAGTCTAACCCTAAAGTGGTGTCAAGACTCGAGAGACTAAAATAATTATTAACTATTTAATTCGCGTTTTTGACACCACTTGGAAGTCCAAATTTTGGGCACTAAAATTCTTATTCTTTGGCCTATTTTTTTATTTTTTCATGCAGATTTGGCCATTAAAGCATTTGACCCAGTCAAAAAAGTTTGAGTTTTATATCTTTTACGGTTTTTGCGGAAAGTTGCGTTAAAGTTGATGCCATGGTGGCAGTAAAATGGCACGGAACCATATCGTCTCGCTTTATATATAGTAAGATTATATCGAATTTTCATTTTAATATGAGAAGAAGAAGGCTTGCATGAAGATCGCTGAGATCAGCCTGAGGGCATCGTATACCATCTATTTGTCCAGAAACAATACCATA